AATTTGCAACCGTTCATGTAGTCTATGGCCCGTGCGCAGTCACTTGGGCAGACGTACTGCACAAAGGCAAAGCCACGTCCCTGGGGATTGATGGGGTTTCGGTCGGTAGGAAACTCGACCGTTCGCATCTCCCCGAAGTGCCCAAAGATCTGGCCGATGTCCTCCTGTTTGACAAGTGGGCTCAGGTTACCAATGTAGATCTTCACCGACTCCAATGGAATCGAGGTTAAGTTAGCCGTGTGGACACAGGGGCGCTTGCACCGTTGACGTTCGAGAGTGGCCCATGGGAATTGAAACCCCATCCGATTTACAATGCGAAATGGATATACGGCTCTGGATGCCAGCACCATGCTTGCTTCCGGTGCTTCCTTCTTCATCTTTGGATAATTGTTCAACTTTGGCCACTGCCATTTAGCGGCATTCGTCTTCGGGATGCCCTGCGTATATCCATATGTGTACATAAATGTACAACCAAATGGCTAGTAGCTACTTACCTGTTCGTTACCAAAATTCTCAACTAGTGCTTGCTCTATTTTAATTGTTGAACTGTCTGATTGTGTCGCGGTTTGCGTCCCCACACTGCGCAGCGTGCCTGAGATTGCTTCGAAGTTTTTGCTGAGTGGTGATTGCCGTTTAGGATTGGTGTTCGTTGAGAGTGAATGAACTCGTTATACTTACGTTGAGCACTCCTCACGCCGGCATGCGTGAAGGTGGACACTTTCCGAATCAACAAACCCAACGTTTTCGCACATTTTTGGTTTGCTGTCTTGAGTTTGATCCTTATCCTCGCCGGATGAAAAAATTCTACGACTATTTTTTTTAGACATATTTAATATTTTTCACTTCACTCTCTGTTGCCATATGTGGCAGATAATTCCTTAGTATTTTTTTTTGTGTTGCAAGAATGGCAAACTTGACACTTGGTAGTGTTGGTTCAATTTTCTGTGCTTTCTGTGATGTGATTTTGATTCCTTTAGTTTCACTTAATGTCCGCTGTGTGGCGCTTGTGGGTGTGAAATTGGAATGCGAATTACGGCCTTTTAATTAATGTACTGACACGGAAATTTATGGCAGTCGATTTTAATTTATTGAACCTCTGCGACGTGGCGCCGTTTGGCGCCTTGGAAGCGCGTACCGTCCCGGCCCTTCCACGATTCTGCCGAAATTTATGGGCAAGTCATTGCCCGACTGGCCAGAAGTGCACAAGTGCACAAAAAACGAGAAGGGACGTGTGAGACGCTTCTTACGCGTCACAACTTTTATACCCGGCACTCAGTACTACATCTGCACCTTAGCGGTGTTTTGTCAAATTTTAAATTTTTTCTTCATCTGTCATCATCTACATCTACAACACTTCTCACACCAACACGCTCCTTTAGCTCGCCGCCCTTCCCTAGACCACACACTGCAGACTCGCGGCAGAGGCAGAGGCAGCGCCCGCACATAAAAGACGAGAAGGGACGTGTGAGACGCTTCTTACGCGTCACAACTTTTATACACGGCACTCGGGACTACATCTAGATGTAGAAGACATCGCCAACCACTAGATATCGTTCACATTACAGAACACGTAGTAAAAAGTCTACTAAATAAAATGCATCAAAAAAATTGGATCAGTTAATATTTTCCAATTTATGAGAAATTGAAAACAGCAATAAAATTGGTACATTCTTGGACCGATAGGTTTCACAGCAAATTTTTCGAAAGTGGCGCCATCTATGACTCATCACTCTTTTTCTAATACAGAGCGTTAAAACCCGAGTCTTGGTTAAAAGTCGTAAGATTCACCGCCAGGGGTAGGGCAGAGGCGGCGCCGAGTGAAGCAGAAGCAGAGTGTGAATGAGAGAATGTAAAAGGAGCAACAAAAGCTGCGAGACAGGGTAGGTTTAGCCACTGGAAATTAATTTCTCCATTGTGGCTACAATACTGATCCGATCGGATCCCAATATGGCGATCTGATAGATATGGCCATTCTCTACAGAATGTTTAGTTTGTTACACTTTTAGTTTTCTTTTATCTTTAAAACTGTAGATTTGGGAGGTTTTCGCCCCTTTTGCGGATGCGGAAGGGAGCGTGGCTCATTTTTGAAATACACTGGTTTCAGTGTGAGCTTACAGCAGTCTGGAGCCAAAATTTGGTGGCTCTAGCTCTTATAGTCTCCGAGAACTAGCCGACAAACAAGACGGGCGGACGGACAGACGGACAGACTCGTCTATTGATGCTGATCAAGACTATATATACTTTATGGGGTCGGAAACGCTTCCTTCTGTGCATTCATACAACCGTTATTCACACAGATACAATATACCCTATTTACTCTTCGAGTACCGGGTATAATAACAATAGCCTCAGCGGGCGACCGGTGCGCGCAGCTTTGTTTTCGTTTTCCATGGCGTCCATTTGTAGCTTTCCCATCGCCAGTCACAGGTAGGGAGGGCGCATTGGCCCTTCGCATGGAACCGAACGTTTTCCATTATCGATAATCGATGGTCGACTTTAAGAACAGCTGATTGTGTCCGGTTAACCACAAACAAACAAAACAAAAATATGCAGAAATTAGCGTTTGCAATTAGGTGTCGTGTTCCTTACAGCCAGAGGAGACCATATCCTACAGCCGGCGCTTCACTCACAAACTTCACTTCAATTTACTTGAATGAAATGCAGCTTCCAATGTCTTGATGCTATGAAAGACTTTCACACAAATATTAAAATAAACAATAATTGCAGTCACAGGAGGGCGCATTGGCCATTCGCATGGAACCGAACGCTTTCTATTATCGATAGTCAAAGCGCGGGTGTGTGCAAATGCAAACAATTAAACAAACACAGTGAAAAAATGAACGGAAATGAGCGCTTGAAATCACGTGTCGCATTCTGTGCAGCCTTATTGCCATAACTGATTGATTCTTTTACAGGTGGAACACCGCATGCCTGATGTGTGCCACATGGATACATATGTCGCTGTCGCTGTCGCTGTCGCCGCCTGACTTTAAGTATTATTACGCCACCCAACACCTGGCAGCAGCTGTGTCATTTGTTTCCTTGCTCTGCTTTCGCTTTCGCTTTCGCTGGGCGCTGCCTTTGTGCTGGTGCTACTGGATAATGCCCTTTGTTGGCCGCTAAATCTGTAATTAAACACACCGCCATTGTGCAACAGTCCCATGGGCAATCCATGCAGCATGCCAGTTAAAAATCAGTCCCAACCTCCCTCACAGGCACCGCACCCGAAGCTCCCGAGCAGCGGGTGCAACCGCCCTACGTTTGGGGCGCGTGTTTGTTCACCTGTTTTGACCGTTTCACCTTCTTGCCAATGCCGCGAAATTGTTTTCGATGCCAATCACCGAAAACTATGCACAGGTTGCACGAGTGGCTGAGGTGGAGTCGGAGACCGACAGAGGTGCACCCCCGTGCTTGCATATTTGTCCGAAGTCCACAAGTGATTCCAAATCAACCAAAAATATATCCTCCAATTCAATTCCCGAGCTGCCGAAGCAGTTATGGCTACCAGTTATTGAATTTGAATATCATTTTCGGCTATTACGGTTAATACTTCCCCCATTCACATTCACTTGCAGACTGCCGGGAATCACTCCACAATTATGGAACGGATCGAGGCACCAGAGTCAAGGAGGTAGCATTTCCATGGAACACGGAACGCCTTCGAAAGTTAAGTGAAATTATTTCCCAGATGTGTCTTTTTGTTTATTAAATGTAGCATCATTTACAGAGTCCTCCCATTGAAGGGCTTGTATGTGGCGGAGTGTGGCGGAGTGTGTCCGAGCTTTGAGCTTCGAGTCAATTTTTCTGGGTCACAGCAAAAGTGCTTCCGGTGCTTCCTTCTTCACCTTTGGATAATTGTTCAACTTTGGCCACTGTCATTTAGCGGCATTCGTCTTCGG